CTCGGGATTCAAGGATTGGGTATGCCAAATTACCAAAGGATTCGAAAAGGGCATTTCAAAGATTGAGAAAAAAGTTTTTGTCATTTCATTAAATAAATGTAAACATTTCTAACTAGTAAACTTTTCGTTTTACTAAGAGTGGACAATAAACGGAAAAAATCTAAATTACTAGAACCTTAACTTCCGAGGTAGTGGGTAGGTGCCCCTCCCTATTCATCCCCTCCGGATTAAGTGTGGCTGATCATATCAAACCCATACCAATAGAGAGAGATACATATAGATATATGATAGCAGACAGATAGATTTGTTTGTTTGTAATTAAGCACAAAGCTACACAATGAGTTACCTGTGCTCTGCCCACCACGGGTTTCAAAACCCGGATTCTAGCGTTGTAAGTCCGCAGACATACTGCTGAACCACTAGGGGGCGACAGATAGATAAGTGGCTGGATGTTACTGACATTGGATGCAAAGTCAGTTAGATACTGAAAAGTTGTATATAATTTTGGAAATTTTATTGCTCTATACTTAGTTACACTGTGGTATTTGTACCACAGCGCACATATCAGGATACGAATTCTCTAGTTCACTAATAAGATATCTCAAATATATAATGATAATTGTAATAATTTTTAGTTTCACTTGTAAATACCGATTTGATGCGTATCTGAATTTATTCTGTTAAGACGATTCTGTTCAATGTACTCTTTTATACAGTATATACAAAACATAAGAAAACAGTCATGATATTGTTTATTTAGCAAATGGTAATGTGGTTGATACGTAGGTTATATGGACATTTTTTTTTTAAAGAAAGGGATTATTTATCCTTCAAACACTATTACAGGATAACCGATCTATTGGATTTGTTTTATATGCTCATATATTCTAGAATGCATTATTTTCCCCTTAAACCAACGCATAAATAAAACTATAGATATTATTGTTGTTAGCAATAGGAAATGAGAATAATTATACCTTCGAATAAAACGTGTTTACACAAAACATCCAAATGTTTTTTCTGTTCAAAAGTAATTTTGTAGTGTGTAACGTTAATATTGTTATAATAATGTAGGTGTTAAATATACAAAGAGCAGTCGGAATTCTGACGAATTTCTTTCTTTTTTTTTACTGATATCTTTGTACCAACGACACGTTTTGCGATTCTTTCTAAGCTATCTAATCTCAGAAACAAATTGTCTAAGATTTTGACCTGTAAATTTTCAAAGCGTGTTTTGAATACAGCATTATTTTGATCATTTATAAGAAATCTGTAAATTATCACCCATTTATTATTGAATGTTTGCCTCCAGACAAAGGGACTCAATCTTGAATTGATACTTGTTTGTTAAATTATCACCCATTTATTATTGAATGTTTGCCTCCAGACAAAGGGACTCAATCTTGAATTGATACTTGTTTGTTAAATTATCACCCATTTATTATTGAATGTTTGCCTCCAGACAAAGGGACTCAATCTTGAATTGATACTTGTTTGTAAGAAGACTTGCTCACGTTCACTTGGCATCTCTGGTTCGTCTTATGTTACATTTTGTTCTGTGATTGGCTAATGTAACTGGCCATGAAAATGTATTCTGCCGTTGCCAGTGGAAACGGGCAGTACATGTAAATCTAGCCAATGCTCAACCGGAGAAGATGGCTTTACGTACTTATTTACGTATGGGTTCAAAACATAAATATCAGTCTAATGAGAAACTATAAAATAATTAATGTTTCGAGAATCCTGGTTTTATATCACTCACTAGTTATACTATATATATATATATAACTTTAAAATCTTCTCTAAAACTGAAGAATACGTTTACAGATCGATATTTATCAATAATGAAAGTTTACAACCGTATCATTCATTTCATCATTTATTGTTTCATCTAATTATGCAAAATTATGCAATTATGCATTATTTCAAAATATCACGGTTACGAGATTTAAAAAACTACCAAGATAAAGATATTTATCCTGAATATTCGGCAGTGGTTCCCATATGTAGTATATGTTATTTATATTCGAATTTAGGCTTAACTACTGGAAATAGTCCGATCCCCTTCAGATTCTCTGCTAAGCCTTTTGATGTATTTTATCCTATAATTATCTTTTCTACTCACAAACTACCAACTGGAACATCATAATAACCTTCATTGTGTATTGATATCTTATATAATCCTTTTTTCATATTTTAGGCTCAAACACTTTTATCTCGTAGACATCCTAAACTATAATGTTAGACATGTTAACAGCTAAAATGTATCTGGATGTAAGTAACAAGCCAGATGGAATCCCATAAATGTTTTAATAGTAATGGAGATGCATGTTCATGATAAGAGTATTTTTATTGGTTCATGTGAAGATAATATTTCTGTTGACTGGCTTACATAATACGGCAATAAATAATCTATCCACCCGAACTAAGTAAACTTAACTAGACTTGATTCAAACATTAGTTAAGCATTTGTATTACTAAAAACCCAACTTCTCCATATATTTGCTTTTATTAATTTTCTAATAAACCTATTTGCGAACAAAAGAGCTTTGGGCTGCCTATACACATCTTTCTCCCCCCCCTCCCCTTTGTGTAGCAGTAAATACAGTGTATTTTGAAACCCTTAGGGTGGAAGATTTATTCTTTCAGTGGGTAGAAACCAAAACCCTTGACCTGGATCAGCTGTAATATGTAAACTTGTTTATGTTTTTAGTTGAAACCCTTGACCTGGATCAGCTGTAATATCTAGACTTGTTTATGTTTTTAGTTGAAACCCTTGACCTGGATCAGCTGTAATATGTCAACTTGTTTATGTTTTTAGTTGAAACCCTTGACCTGGATCAGCTGTAATATGTAGACTTGTTTATGTTTTTAGTTGTTGTTGTTTTTTTTTTGCTTTCACTTTCTTTGATTGTACATAATTCAATAAAAAATAACTTAGAATTTCAAAACTCTTTTCATGGTCTCAGGATTCGATGAAAAATATATGTTCTAAAGGTAAAAAAGTGATAAATGTATTAAACTACGTTATTAATTTTATGATCTAAAAGGGAAAAGTTATTACCTGATTTATCCGAAACTTAAATTGAGGCATGTTTATGAATATTTCTAACTTGCCTTTGAATCTCGTGTTGAGGATTTTGTTGTCTATTGTTTTTTAATACTGTAATTTAATTTTTAACTAGCAATCCCAGAAAGAAAAAAAACTTTTTTTTTTAAAATTAAAATCCGAATATAATAGTGCGATCTATTGAGATTCATAAGATTTGTCATCAGAAACAATTAATGTCATTCAGTATTTTAATATCCCATGTGATACTTCATCTGCAGCTATTAAGTCTTGGTGGATTTAATTATCATCAAGAAATTTCAATCGAGAAGGAGCTTCAGTATACTACTCATCAATTATCACCATTCATAATCTTTGCATTTGTCCAAAATCCTTTACTAGCTGTCCTCAAATTTTCCATTTCACAAATGTGGCAAACATTCTTTAAATAGTGTTCAATTAACGTTGTTGGTTTTTTTAACTTTTGCATGTCTACGTTTTTGTGATTCATTGTAAACAAAACCTCGTATTCTTAACTTCGAAATACGTAGAATTAAAGCTAGTGTTTAAATATTTTTGGAGCAAGTCGATTGCAACAACTATGAGAACCAAATTTTATAATCTGGTAAAGTGACAAACGAATTAACTATAAAACTGGATATGGTAAGTAAATGGAATGAAAAAAAAAAAGAACGTCTAGTAATTTTTGCACCTAAAACATGTCCAACAAAACGTTTTATTTGCACTGCTAAATTTAGGAGGTGGCTCCACCTGGTTGTTGGCAGTAGTGATGCAGATTAAATATTATAGTTTTAAAAACGAGCTGGGAGGACAATTGTACGCAGTAGATGGAACTGATTTGGCTCAAATAATAAAGTTAATAAGAATAAACGTGCTTTGCTTTTTCAGATATACATCAGGTTTAGGTAATATAGATTTATTTTATACTCGAATTTCTTATGAGTTTGGAACTGCACACATTTGATCTCATGATGAGCGATACTAATGCCAGACTAATGAGTATTTTATGAAAAATAACTTTAGAACATTTTCTGAGACTAGAATTTTTCATCACTAATGGTTAACCAATGATATTAGAAAATATATTCGTATATATTTAAATATATATATATTAATTTTTAAGAAGTAATAATTTTACAGAGTGAATCAGGCATATTGTTTCATGTCTGCTTTTTGCAAAGCAATGAAAAAATGTATGAGCACATTTCTTTCTTCAGAATGTCATTAGAAATACGTTTACTCACCATTTTATTGATTTAGGAACTATTAATAATGGTTTCTTTAATTCACTTAGCATTGTATTATTTCCTAGTGATTCCCATTTTAATTTTGATGTAGAATTTAATCGTTCTGAATATTTTAAAACATGGCTTAAATGTACACAATTTGTGGAAAATAACACTGACACCAAGTCTTTTATCGACTGAGAATAAAGCCTTATGAAAGATTTAAAATAATAGAAAAATATTTCTAGCTGACCATTTACAAAGCTAAGAAACTTCATGTGGCAAATGAGCTTTAGAAGTTAATACAGGTGCTATGGGGAGTAAGCGTTGCTAGATAATACTCACAAATAAGGAATGCAACGCACTATATATAAACTGTGGAAAGAAAAATACTGTGTAGAGAGAGATGGGCCTTAAAATTAACACAAGTTTTCTATCAATCTGAATAGATTTATATATAATCTGTTATTTACGCATAAATTTGACTTTTTATCACTGACTGTGACATATAGATTTTGTTAGATATTGAAAAAGTCAACGGCAAATTCTATGCACATTTAATAGACTTCGGGTTGAAAGTTACAATAGAAAATATTCCTTTTATAGCCCTTTAGTGATGCTGAATTTTTTTTACTCTATTTTATAAGTATATCAAAATGAATAAAAAGCTAGATCTGTGAAGCTTAAACGAGTCTATTACCTACCAGCTACTTGCTTTCTTGGATCTCCAACACTCCTTGGATCCTCATATTGATGGGTGTGATCTTCTCTGTAACAGTAATCTTTCTGGGGATCAAGTTCTTCGTTCTCGGAGGAGCTGTAGTCCTGCCATTCCTGTCTTCGTAGTCTGGATCCTTGTCTGTTTAAACGGGTATTCTTATCCATATTTCTCTAGAAAAGTCAACTGTAAACAGAAGAAACTGTAAAACTTTATTTAGATTTAACTACAGAAAAAAACAGAGACGAAAAATACCGTGACTGAAATTTGCCATGTTTTATCCACCCACAAATTCCAGACTTAAACAAAGTTGGGATCAAATGGAGCAGTGACAGATTTATTATAATTAAAGAAATAACATTTTTTCCTTTGGAACAAAATTATTTAAGTAGATTTAATGTGTTACGATAAAGTATCTTATACAACATATAGCAATATTGAAAAATAAAAATTTGCAGCATAAAAAAATAAGGAAATGTTAGATTTTTATAATTTTATTCTTGATTAGTTAAATATCATTCAACCAATTGCTTATTGAAAATACAGGAACAAGTCACTTATTGAAAATACAGGAACAAGTCGCTTATTGAAAATACAGAAACAAGTCGCTTATTGAAAAAACAGAAACAAGTCGCTTATTGAAAATACAGGAACAAGTCACTTATTGAAAATACAGGAACAAGTCGCTTATTGAAAATACAGAAACAAGTCACTTATTGAAAATACAGAAACAAGTCACTCATTACCGTTTACAGGAACAAGTCACTCATTACCGTTTACAGGAACAAGTCACTTATTACCGTTTACAGGAACAAATCACTCATTACCGTTTACAGGAACAAATCACTCATTACCGTTTACAGGAACAAGTCACTCATTACCGTTTTTTAACTCTAAATCGCAAGCACATCATAACCTTCTCAAATAATGAATAATCTTCAGACTTATATTTAGTCATTCACATTTATAATCAGGTAAAGTTTATTTATAAGAAATTATAATATGCTTGTTTGCTTAAATTGATTTGTTGTTTTAATTTTCCGAAGTACAAATACAATGTTTGACTGTGTTTTCTTCTTAACCTATTACAGAGTGATGCGTTTGAAGGACTTGAGCCATGCCAGAGCCGGCTGTATAAGGGTATTAGTTAAAAAACCCCAGTACTTTAGAAAATACCTTGCACATTTCATCCAATAAATACTGTCACTCAGTATAAGGGTATTAGTTAAAAACCCCAGTACTTTAGAAAATACCTTGCACATTTCATCCAATAAATACTGTCACTCAGTATAAGGGTATTAGTTAAAAACCCCAGTACTTTAGAAAATACCTTGCACATTTCATCCAATAAATACTGTCACTCAGTATAAGGGTATTAGTTAAAAACCCCAGTACTTTAGAAAATACCTTGCACATTTCATCCAATAAATACTGTCACTCAAACGTCGCTCAGTAATTCCAATAACGTAACTGTAAACGCAACTTTCAATCACTGCATGTATTTGGTAAACCATCCTTGATTCAATTTTTTTTCTTCTTTTGCTCAAGTGAAAACTTCAATAAAAGCCCAGAATCTTGTCTCGGTAAAACACGCAGGCATAACAGCTTACTGAAAGACCTAAAGTTTCGCAGGATATTAAGGATAACTGAGATAACCGCTTACTTCCTGCTTGCTAGATAAAATGGAAATGTGTTACCATTACGGATGAACCAGTAGGCATTTGTTACGGGCAATGTTGGGTTTAGATAAGACCTTCAAACCAAATAACTTATACTAAAGAGCGTTACTGTTTGAATCTATTTGTTTAGATTTCTCTATGCACACCCATGTAAGCATGTATTTTTCAATGTAACAATATCCTACTGAAAAGCTTTTTTTTATGTGATTTGTTCGAGATATTATAAGTTTTAATCTTTGTATAATACAACTGTTTATATTGCGAAAATAATTCGTTTATTTACTCTAGTCATTTACTTTGGTCCTACTTATAGTGAATCTTAACCACGTATATATATAAATAAAAACAAGAAAAGGGTCCAAATTCTATTTTTTTCGGCTTGATTGATGTGGTAAGGGAAATTTAGGTTTAGCTAGATACAAACGTATTTTAGAAATAGGAAGTGGCAGAGTTCCCCCGAGAAATGGTACGAGTCGAATTTAAATGGATGAATCAGTTTTACTTCACATCGTGTTCTCTTCATCTCTCGGGAAATTTTAGGCTGGATGGCGTAAAGTGTTGGGTTCTTGTCTTCTCGGTGAGATTACAATTCACAGACTGTCCGTCAATGTTCAGTTTCAAACTCAACCTTCAGTATCAGCATGGAAAAAACAAAAGTACAAAGACATCTCTTTCTGGTAGCAACTTCACCCTTTGTCACAAGCGAGATAGGTATCCCAATTTTCTGTTTTTAGTTTCAGAGAAAAATGGGCACACCACAAATAGCCCATTGTGTAGCTTCGTGCTTAACAACAAATATAAAAATCAAATAAGGACAAAATGCATACAGACAGGTAATACTTTATTACTACTGGTAGTATAATTAATTAATTTTGTAAGTTCTTAAGCTTACCATAGTGAGATATAAAACACTTATTAATAAAACTCACTGCAGCAAATAATCATTAAATGGCTCTGTTTATGGAACATTTACACGCATGCGTTATCAAAAGAAAAATATCCCATAAGAATATCTGGAATCAGCACCATTGAGAAAAAAAAAAGAGTTACATAGCAGAAATAAAAGAAAAAAAAATGAAAACAACAGAAGAGAGAAGAAGATGAAGAATAGAATCATTCCTATGATATTAAAGACGTTGAATAGGCTACATTCATATCAAGAATCCCTGGGGGGACATAAATGAATGAACTTGCTATGTGTATGAACACATACACTAAATTCTCATAAAAATATTAAATATCAAGAGATGGAACTCGTTATATCTCTTGTAGTGAAACGTATCGTTCAGTGTTAGTATACAAAGTAGACAGACATCCAACCGCTTGAATGTGGACTATCCTGAATACATTTATTTGAACTATTTAATGACTTGAGATAGGAAACTGCCTGAGTATATACTTTATAAAGTAAATACATTTTCAATTGGTGGGTGATACAAGTAGTTTCAGGGCTTGAAAAAGGGGCCAGACATGCATATTCATCTATGAAAAAAACAACTAGTACTCCATGTGTTTGCAAGTACGTATAAATACATATTTTTGTTTGCGGTCTAATTATAATATTATAATACGTGAATGGAAATACATATTAGTAACATTAAAATATCTTATTGCTAAAATTAACGATTATATACTATAACAGTCCCTACACCGGGTTCGAACTATGGCAGTTAATTTGGTAAAATACTGGTTATGATAAGTAAAATATAAAAGCTTTTTCTCAACGCGTCAATAACCTTATATTTTTTAAGACGTGTTTATTTATAGCATTCTCTTCCCAGATGGTCTGCTTTAGAAAAATCCTTAAGTATTGGTTTGCTATTGAAATTACGCTTTCACACATGTTAAAATCCAAACAAATATTGAGTTATGGAATTTTATTTTTCTATTGAAGCATTAATAAAATACTTCCAAAGATTTGTTGCAATTTTTAAAACATTAATTATATCTACTGTTAGTAAAGCCTTTATAAACTTCGAGAATATGCTTTAAAGAATTATTATTTAAAAAGTTTAAAATTTCTAAGAAGAAAATTGGTTTGTTTTTGAATTTCGCGTATAGCTACATGAGGGTTATCTGCGCTAGCTGTTCCTAATTTAAGAGTGAAAGACTAGAGGGAAAGCAGCTAGTCAGCACCACCCACCGCCAACTCGTGGGATACTCTTTTACCAACGAATAGTGGGATTGACCGTCACATTATAACGCCCCCACGGCTGAAAGGGTGAGCATGTTTGGTGGAATGGGGATTCGAACCTGCGACTCTCAGATTGCAAGTCGAGCACCCTAAACACCTGGCCATGCTAAGAAGAAGAAGAAGAAGCATTCCTGATTTTAGATAATTCCTGTTCCAGGTTTAATCAAAGTGGGGAAAAAAACAAACAAACTTATTTTGAAAATGTGCAGGATAGAATTGTCATTAATGTTTGAATTCTGATAAAAATATGAAGATGAGAAACTAATGTTTATGGACTTCACATATGTCTTTCGTATTAATGTTTGAGTTTTTACAAGGAGAAAAACGAAAAACAGTCAGAATATTCCGTATTAATTTAACAGTAAAACACGAAATGAATTAGAAAAATGGTTAAATTTGTCCAGTTGTAAGACTTGGATATGCATATACCAGAATCGCGTATATTTATGTATCTATGATAATATTTTAAAGAGAAATGTTATAGTTTCGTGAATTTAAGACATTAAAACTAAGAGTACTTAATTGTGATTATTAATTTTATTTTCATTCGAACATTGTCTCCATAACCATAGAATGGATTTATTCGCTTACTTTTATGGTGATTAATATTCTTCTTTGCTTTATGGTTTACATTTTAATTTTTTTGCGCTAAGTAATGCAAGGGCTATTTTCACATGCCCGTCCATGATTGTAAACGAGAGCAGTCAATAACACCTACTGTCAACTCTTGGGTTACTCTTGTCTGATCGAATCGTGGAGTTTGACTGTTACTCTTATAGTGCGTCCATCACACGAAGTGTAGTGCGCGTTTTGGTACAACGATACACGAATCGTGTATCCTCATGTTCACAGCTCGAGCACTCTAACCACTTGCCACGCCCAGCCGACTAATAGTCTATCTGACAAGAACTACTAAACCAATGTCGGTTTCTTTGTTAATTAGTTTGAAAGCATGTTAAGATGTCACTTAGCCTACAGAAATTTATTTATGAGTAATAAATCATTAAGCCTAAATTACTGGATAAGGGCTTCATATTGGGTATGAAAATAGGATCTCCAACGAGATGTTTTATTACCTTAGCAATATCTTTATAAATCGGTTCGTGTTTTCTTTACGTAGTTTCTTCAACAATCACACCCATGGTAAAAGGAGGGAAAAAAAACGAGTCGCACGGAGTATATTTAATAACAAATATCTCTATTTTACAATACTTCAGTAAATACCACACAAAAATTACTTTTTCAGAAAGCTGATAATAAATTCCTTACAAACATCTTGGGGTTTGGCTGCAAAAATTGCTTAATGTGTTGAA